TGAGCATCTACTTGAAGTATTATTAAACATATGCCTGAATTATTTTATGGTTTCATGAAAAAGGAATTAGAAAGGCTCTGCAACACTTGGAACTATAGCTATAGTTTTATCCCATCTAAAAAAGAAACAATTCAAGATAAATCCATTTTACTGTGCAGGATGCATTTTACACATACAGCCTTGCTTTTTGCAGACACCCTCAGGTTCATGCCATTTTTCATGATTAATCTTTATAAAAGCTTTTACTCACTTTGATGTATTTACTTTATTGATTTATACAGCACTTATTATCATGCCAACTAGGTTTCCACTTACCACATTAATGCATTTTCATTAGTGCTGCCCTTTTGGATGAGGACGCGCTGCTCAGCCCCGCTACACCCGGCAGGGAGCACGGGAGACACTCGCCTGTTATTCCCTATCGCAGTCACTGACAGCAAAACATTGATGCTACGGGGCAGCTCTTGAGAAGCACAAGGATCTCAGGCACAGGTCATTTCTTCCTAAATTTGTTCTCCATGTTAAGACCCAGTTTACCATTAGAAAGCCCAGATCTTGGCAGCGACCATAGGAAAAACCACTCGACAAGCTTTTTGCAGCAGCGATTTTTGAGAGTGGATGGACAGCTTCCATTAGAGGAACAGCTTGGCTCCGTCCCTTGGCTCGGCTGGATGGCAACACCAAGCTCAGGGGGGCTGGAGGAGTCAGTTCTCTGCTGACTTTTGGACTCTTTACCAAGACATTTGCAAGAAAAGGGCTGATCTAGATAGTTAAATCAGTCTTTCTGCTCACCCAGAGCAAACACTTATGCAGATCATTGAGGATACTGTTTTTTTCTGAGGCTCAGGGATACAAGAACTGGAGATTTCCCTCTGGTGGTGGCAGAGTGATTCCACCTTTACGAGGAACTACTTTTAAACAGATTTTTTGCCTGTGATGGTTCTCAGGAGGGCACACTACAGAATAAGCAGGTGGTCAAGTGTCAAATTTCAGACATAGCAAAAGAGGGAAGGAGGAAAGATATTACTGTTGGCATGAGTCCCATCTGCATCCACAGTCACCACCAGTTTCAGGTTAACACTTCTGGAGACAACCTGGGGCTGCATATTGCTATAAAACCCTGCACAGATTAACAGAGGAAGCATCATTTCCTCCAGGAGCTGCAGGATCAGAGCCTTTCTGAGCAGCTGCAAAGTTATCACAGCAACCATGGTCTGCAGCTCGGACTGCGCAGGCTGTGGAAAGCCTGCTCCTTCCTTCAGGCTTCCTTGGAAGGAGAGGAAAAGGATGGATGACTCCATCAGCTTCCAATTCACCAGAAACCAGGTTCACTTCTAGTGGTTTTTTTGTAGCATGGAGAGGGGAATATTCTGAGGTCAACATGAAACATGGTACCTCTTAGTGGTACTTTGCCTATGATCTTCCTCGCTGTTAGAGCAGTGTTTCAGCTGCAACCCCCCCAAAAATGTATTTCATTATTTAGCCTGCAGAAGGGGAAATGAGCACAGCTGGACTTGGTTTAGGCCATACAGCAAGAGAGCAGCAAAGATGGAAGCAGGATCCATCTCATGAGACCCGCACATCAGTCGAGTCTGTGGCTCAAACTGCCAGAAAGGCGGCACATCCATAGGGAAGTAGCGAGTGTGGCAGCGAGAGGAGAGGCACTGCAAAGCAAGGCCCACAGCAAGCAGTAATGCCAAAGATGTTGGACAAACATACTTATTGGGATTTGCTAAAAGAAGCAAACAAGGAAACGAGATCTTTGTGCTTTTCATGTGACTGTGCAAACCCTGCTCCCAGGTACCCCTCCATCTACTCCACCAGCCTTACAGCAGTATCCAGGCTAACAGCAAACACATGCATAAACTGCAGTTCACAGCAGAGACCTTTAGTCACTCAGATGGGGAAAAAACTTTCCAGACCCCCAAAAGAAGCACCCGTCACACCTGGCATATGCCAGATCAAGGAGTGACTTCAAAAAAGTGTTGCTGTGAGCAACATGCACTCCAACACTGCACCTTTCCTGGGGGAATTAGTGTTCTTGTTAGGATGATAGAAATAGAGACCTTGGTGGTATTAAAACAAAAATAATGCATGGCATGATCCATTTCATGATAAAAATGGTCAGTTTTATAGATATATGGGAGCTTTGTCCCAGGCTGAGATAGGAGGAAACACACTTTAACACATACATGGCATGTGGCAAGGAGCTGCTGGGAAGAACTGAGGACTCTCCTGTTGCTATTCAGAAAGTAAAATAGTTTTAACAGAAATTGTTAATGCATGTTCAGCCCCGCAATAGGATATTCAGCACATGTCTATGGTAATGAACTCCTCTGCTGATTTAAGGTGCAGAGGGAGAGCAGGGAATAAATCAAGCTTTTAAAAGGACAAAATCCGCCCTTCAGACGTTAGTCGCCAAGAGCAATGGGGGCAGCTTAAAGCAGCAGCAGAGCATGCAGTATGATCATCAGATAGGCACACCTTCCTTGTAGCAGTCCTCAACATGATTATTTTGGACATTAGAAGTTCCTGGGACTCTTTAATAAGCAACAGACTCATCTTTTATACTCTGCAGAAATCAGCTGGCTCCTTTTATCTTTATACACTCACCATACACTCCCCACACACTGCACAGGGTAGGGCTGCACAGCCACATGCCAGTCAAGAAGCATGAGACAGGGCTAGACCTGTGCGAAGAGGGGGGATTTTCTCTTGGTGATGGATAAGGGATGACCTCAGGGATCAGGAGGGCCACGTGTGTCCTGGCTCCGCCACAGCTCGCTGCCTCGATATGGCCAGGCTCCAGCGGGACATTTGGGGCTTCCTACCACAGATTTGGCAGGCGGTGACGCCGCGGAGACGCCTGCCCATAGCTGGGAGCGTCAAGGCGGCCCGTGCCCACGCTCGGCCGGGCTGAAACACAACCCGGGCTCGCCGGGGGCCACGGCGCGCAGCGCCCTCCGCAACCGCGCCGCGAGCGGCATCCAGACACGCTGGAACCGCCGGCTTAGCTGCTGGCAGCGCCCTCGGGGACGCAGCCTGCGACAGCCAAAGGGCAGGAGCAACTCAGTCCCAAGGAGCGCCACGAGGAGCCCGCCTTGCCTCCGCTGTTACCCCAACAGAGCCATCCCCAAGGCTTTCGCCTCTGTCGGGTTTGTTTTATTAGCCAATAAACACTGGCTTGAGAGCTGCCAAGGGCTTTCAACACTGCTACGATGGAAAATATCTAGTGCACAGGCAACAGGGCTGCAAGTGCCATCTGCTAGAAAAGAAGCCAAAAACAGCGTGCACACACCCGAGACCCAGCCCAGCGCGCACACAAGCCCGGAGGCGATGGGACAGCGCACAGGGCTGGAAACTGCTCAATAACATGAGCCTAGTAGGGGAAAAAAGTCTAGATATATTCACAGATAACAGCTGTCAGAACAAACCCCTTCTGTAGCTCTTCATAGGCAGACCAGGACACGAGGCATTGCTGGACAAAACACGTGGGGGTGGATTGGAGCACCCTGAAGGTGCAGGTAGGATCAGTACACAGAGCTCCCCTCCAAGCAGCCTCCTCACCAGAAACCCTTGTGAGTGCTGAGATTTCCAAGCGTACTGCCCTCCCTCATGCTACTCGCTTACTCAATGCCAAGTTCAATATGACCCACGAATGCCACGAAGCCACCTCCGAACCATCACAGCATCTCCACCTGCCCACTGGAAGGGCATCGCTGCCCCCAGGCTGTACCTGCCAAGCCTGTGTTTGCAGAACATTTAAAACAACCTAAGTTTAGAGGACATTTTTCAGAAAGAGCTCAGGGAAAAGGAAGGGGGTTAACATGCAGCAAATTGGGTGAGAAGCCTTGATACACCTCCTTCCACTGTCACCGCTAGCAGTGCAAGAGAACAGGAACATAATTCAAGTGTCCAAATGCCTTTCTTGCAGACCTCTTCTTGCCACAAATAATGAGTAATTTCTTGCTCAGCGACAACTTTCTAGCCGGGTGTCATCACAAATGCTTTATGGAAAGGGAAGGCAAAGATCACCAGCACCACAGTCATTTACAGCCACAGCACATCACACCAACAGCCTGTCCCACCTCGTCTCCCACAGCAGAAACCCACACCTCAATGACATTCCTGGCTCAGTTTAGGTAGCAGCACTCATCAACTTTTTTTGGCTTTAAGTGGAACTGCTTCAAAGAGAGATGTGAAAAATAAACTGACCACAACAAGTGACAGTTATACCACTGAACACCTACAGACAACTACACCAGCAAGGAGCAGATAGGGGCTGCTTTATGAGAGGCTGATAATCTTTTTTAATTCTAGCTTTAAAACACAAACACCAGGGAAAGCAGGGGGGAACTTAATTATCAACAGTGAACTCTTACGAATGACCGTATGTCCATCGGTTTTGGACATGACAGTATTTGATTTGCAATGAATTCCTGAGGTTAATTACACAATACGCAGAAAAAGCTCTTCCTAACCACAGGTTACTTTTGCATTTCAAAGGTGCCCTGAAAGCCTGGAAAACTTTACGAGAAGGCAAAGAGCAACCCCCATGCTACCGGTTAACTTTTGCTAACCCCATAACGACGCTGTGCGGCTCCAGGACAGCCGGGGACGTTCCTCTTCCTTTCTCCTGTCCCTGCTGCCGAACGCACGAGCAAGACCGAGCTCCCCGCTCCCAAGTGCTGTACATCCCTGCGTCCCTGCGCCCAAGGGATGCCACAGGGAGGCAAAGGGCGTTAAAGCCGCCCAGCCCGACGCTGCAGGACAGCAAAGAGGCAGCCACAGAGCAATGCTGCTCAGGGCAAAGCACAGAAGTAGCCCTATTCTAGGGCAAGATATACGCATCACACATGTGCAGCTATATATACATAAACTTATTGCACATATACGTGCATAGCTATACATATAAACTTTTTAACATTATTTAAGCGTGCTGAACGCACTCAAGCCCGCTCTGCCCGCGCCCCGCGCTCCCCCCGCGCCCCGGCCCTGCCCGGCGGTGGGCACGTCGGGGACGAGCTTGAGGGGCCCGATCTGCCGCAGCTGGAAGGCCGTCCGCACCTCGTGGCAGCTGGGGGCCTTGGCGCCC